TTTTTTTTTTTTTTTTTTTTTTTTTTTTTTTTTGGGTAAAGTGCAGTTGAATTTAAAAATACTGAAGTTGCTGATCAGTTGGTTCCTAAATCCAACACAAACAAATGTTCATACATAGACAGATTGATCAGATTAAATGCATTTTTTAAAAATTTATTAGGTTGGTAAAAAAAGTGGCTTTTACTGTTTATTACTTTTAGTACTTTTAGAGTCTAAAACCTCAATTCATTTTTTTATTTTGGGGGAGAGGGAGGTTGTCAAATGTCAAATATTTTAAACACGTAGTTCACTTTATTTTTTATTTTTCTTCATTTTTTGGATTTGTTGCATTTATAAGGCGGCCGCCTATGATACATTGTTCTTACCGGTTGTCTTTAATCGATTACTGAGCAAATTTTTTGTACAATTTTTTTGCATTGGTACAAGTTTGATATTGCTTTAACATCATCATTAATTTAGTTTTTTGCTGTTTATTCGAATAATTTAATTGTTGTCGTTGTGAAGAGCACTTTTTCGTTACTGTTCTTCAAGGATATTATGATGTTTCAGTGCAGGCAAAGGAAGAAAGAAACTGTCACTAAGTTTTCTTAACAATTTTGTCATCGATGCGTTTACGCTTTGTGTGTTATGGTTGTTATGGAAGAAGAAGACTATGAGGAAAACGACGTCACCAATCACAGTGACGATACCTGTTTTATTTCTGATTCTAAGGACAACAGTAACATCGAAAAACTTTTGCCACCTGTTGCAAAAACAAAACGGCAAAGTCGCTTAGATTCTAATAGTGGTTCGACTACTCTTGATCGCCGTTCAAGAAGGTAAGTCTTAAACGGTTTTTTTGCTTAAATTAGTTTAGATTTACTAAACAGATTTTTAACTGGTTGAGTAATACGCTCGACTAAGCGTCTTTCAAATTCAATATAATTCGCAGTGATTGCAAGCGACTGAAAAACGGTTATATTATCGCTTCTTTATAACAACTTTTGTATTTTTTAAAAAGGGAAAAGCAATTCTGCATTTCTTATATTTAATCGAAGATTTGAAAAAGATTTAAAGAAGTATTTAGGTAATATATAATTACCAGTTATCATTAGTTTTATCATTATTAACAGGACTTTTTTTATTTATCAGGCATATTGGTTGTTTTGCTTTTTATCATGTATTCACAAAACTTTTCAGTTGATTCCATGATAAAGTTTTGTACAACGAGTAAAATGAATGCCGCAATTTGTTTTTGGGAATTGAATGAACGCAAAAAACTTCCACTAAAAACTGATTTACATCAGCGAAAAAAATTGGTCTTTTTTGGGTGGGTAAAAATGGCAGAGTTTTTGAAACGACAAAACAAATACGTCTTACGAGAAAAAAAATGCTTTTTTACAATTATTTGTTAACTTATCTATTTATTTATTTATTTTTTTGAAATATTCGGCAAAGATCTTGACTGTATATGTGTAGTATCTTTTTGGATTGGTATCAGTCTTTCGGCGCAGTTTTTTGTAGTTACTATAAGGTGTAAAATTATATCAAAAATATGTGCACTAAATAGAAAGCGGTATAGGCGTTTGGAGAAAACGGAGAGAAAGCAAAAAATTTTCGGTGTAGCAAGTGAAGAAAACAAAAGATGTTTGTATTTGAAGTCTGTAATGGTCAGCGGACAGAATCAGTAGCATTGGTTAACTGTAAAATTATAGCACTATCTGTTTTTTAATGCTGTCTAAATAATGTTAAATTTTAAAGGTAATAATCTGTGAACTTCCAAAAAAAAAATCTTCTTCTACGCTTTTTGCAGGCTTATGGTTCAGTTTTTGCAGCAATTTAACTGGTTTATGACATTTTCATTGTTCTTTTTTCTTTCTTTATTTGTAAAGAGCAAGCAAGCTATTCAGCTGGTAAAAAAAAACAGGAACAAGGCAAGTGTTAAAAAACGTTTGAATAAAAAATTTATAAATGTATGTAAAATAATTGATAGAATGGAGTAAGATGAAAACTGTTGATTATGGCATTTCATTTAAAATACAAATTTTATTAAGTTTTTGAAGTAATATTTAAAAACCACTCAGCGCCTTTGGCTACGACGCAGGAGCTAGCATAAAGTACTAAACGTTTTCTTGATATATCTTGAGCTTCTAAATGTTTTTTATTAAGCACTCTTTACAACGGCATTAAAACCATTTTTCTTCTTGTTCTGGTAAATGGTTTTTTTTTTTTTTTGCTATAAGTATCTGTATAAAAAGACTGTATTTTTAAATCAAAATATTATGCTTACTTGATAAAAAAAAAACGATTTTGAGGTAACACAGTTGATGGGAAAATGATGCGGTAATAAAACTATGAAAATACGAAACATTAGTATAGTTGAATGATCTACAAGTGGCTAAAATTAATGTTACGTTTGATTTTTTTTCGATTTTGTTTCACTTACTAAAACATCTACATATTTTGCAGTACGCGTTCATTTTTTCGTTTTATTGAAACCTTTCAGTTGTCTAGAATACCTCAGCATTTCGTTGCTATGCGCTTTTTTGTTTCAACTTCTTCTCAAAAGATTAGTGCTTTTTTTGTTATTAGTTTATGCTCAGTCTATCTATCGTCTGAAAGTTGCTACCGCTGTTTGGCTAAAGATAAGCAT